ATTGGGGTTCCTCACCAGGGCTGACTTTAGGGAGAGTGGGTTACAAAGCTGCCTGGTAGGGATTTACTGGTGATCCCATCATCACAATGTGCCACAGTGTGGGCTTCATGGAGGAAGGAAAGATTCTTTGGAGGAAAAATAGGCTGTGGCTTTCTCAAGCTGCCATGGTGGCAGTACACAGCCATGGTGACCACTGTGTTCAGAGAGAGATGTGTGGGACAGACAGTGAGTAAATTGCAAATGGGGAAGATTAACAATCTTCTAGCACAAAATATTTCCAGCCACAATTTTCAAAAGCAGATAATGAATTAGATGTTACTAGTGGGAATTCAAATATTAAAGAAAGAAGTGCAGAATGCTCTTCTGTCCTCCACCAAAAATAAGCAAAACCTTCTGCCCAGTGAGGAACCTTCTTTGGCTCCGTGTTTGCTGTCAGTGAGGATGATCTTCTCACTCTGCAGCAATAATGAATCTTCTCCATGTAGGGCAGAGGGGGAAGGAGAGCAAGAGAAGTGACACGCAGAGTATTTGAGAAGTGTGACGGGCTGCACACACTGCTCTGCTCCCCTTCCTGTCTGCCTGGATCCCTGAAGACCTCCTCCCCTTGCCCCTGATCTCTTTACATAGACTTCTCTGGGGTGTAAGGATGCTGGACATGCCTTTATTCGAACACAGACTAGCGCAGCTGTTCCTTGTTGTGATTTAACCACACCGCAAAGCAGTCATGTTTCTATTTACACACTCAACTGGACCCTGAAGATGCCAGCTGGGCCATCTCCATGAGTAAGCAAGACAGGACCAGCCTGCAGTACCTTCATAAGGCATTCCAACCCCATGATGATGAGGCCTGCCCCCTGTCCTCCCACCCCCTTCTCCCCATGCCAACTTGATAACTGAATTAACACACCTACTTCTGTATCAGGTTGACGGGAGCTGAGGAGTTGGTCCAATGGCTGTGAGCATAGTCAAGAGTTTATCCTGCCTTTTGACAAGTCAGGATGATGGACCTTCATGTCCTGGGGAAGCCATGAGCCAAGCCTGGTGCTTACTTTGCTGGTGTGAGGATGGGCACTGTGGAAAATGTGTGCAGGGCAGGTTGCAGCTCCACCAGGACTGAGACTTGGTGTCTGCCACTGAGGATTCACAACCCTGTAACCTGGACTTCCCTCAGAATTTCTCCCTGGGCACCAACGAGCAACACCAAAAGCAAAGAAGCCAAAGCCTCATCCCACCGAGGACCAGATCTTTTTCATTGCAAAGCATGTTTCTGAATGCATATCCAAATATCTGGGAGAGGGACAGAAACCAATGGACCAGCATGGATCATCTTAGCCAGCTTTTGACACCAGGCCCTAAAACCAATTGTTGGGAGAGAACCCTGCAGATCTGGGCAGCCAAATGCCATCAGCCCTACATCCATAAGGCCTGTGGCAGCTTTTTTACTGACTCTCGTGGACTGCAAAATCTGGTCCTTAAAGGGCCGGTTCAAAGATAACATTGATAATAGATAACTAATCTACAGTAGTGTATCTGGTGATAGGAATAGCTATTATACACCCCGACTACCTTTTTATGAGTGTAATTAAAAGCAGTTGGTGTCAGAGTAAGTCGCAGTGCTGCCTGCTGAAGAAATCAATATGATCCTGCTTGTGTGTGTGTGCCTATGACAAAGTGGATTATCTCCATCCTCCCCAAACAGCAGCTGCAAAGCAAAGAGGAAAAGGGAGAGTGGCTGAATTTGTACCTTCAGGTAAAGTTGCCTGGTGCTTCCTGGTGGGAGGGGCAGAGGCTTTGGGGGATGTTTAAATTTCTCCCCAGGAACAAAAGGAGGAGAGATTAGCTGGACCCCTGGAAGGGATGTGTGTCCTGCCCCTTCCTCCTCCTCCATCCCCAGTTTGCCAGGATCCCCATGCCCGGGTGGGCGCTGGTGTCTCTGAGGGTCCCTGTATGTGTGTGTGTGTGTGTGTATGTGTGTGTGTGTGTGTATGTGTGTGTGTGTGTTCCAGTCTGCAGTGTGAGCAATTTCACTTGAAAAGACAGAGAAATCCCCTCCTTTGAAAGTCACAGTGTTTGGCTCTTTCCAGTAATGCTATAATTGGATGGGATTTTCTCTAATACAGAGGGAAAGTCCTTAAGATGATTTTTCACACACCACCACCCTCCTCCTTTTCCTTGTGCTACCTTGTGCAATAAAACTACCTTCTCTCTCTCCAGCCTCTTTGGCTCCTCTGGGGTGGGGGGACCTGCTGAAGAAGGTGGGGAGGATGGATTTAATACACTCAGCATAATTGCAGTACCGACACCACGGGGATTTGCTGGGAGAGCCGGAGAGAGCATCCATTCCATCTCTGGAAGCAAGTGAGAAGCAGCTCAGATCAACTCAAGCTTGGCTATACGGAGTGATTAGATCTCGGAGCACTTGCCAGAGCTCACATTTGCAATCGCTTGTCATCCAACCCTAAAGAAAATAATCAGGGCCCGACCCCTGCCAAATTCCCAATGATTTAAATATCCCCGAATGAACTACATTTCTAGTATAATTTCACTAGAATGAATATATCTCTCCATCTAGCTAAACACAAACATATCTTTATATATATGCATATAAAGCAGTGTGTGCGTAGAAATATTCCCTACTAAGGGAAAATATATATGCAATTCTTAATGAGAAAGAAAATGCATTTTGATTTGAGCTCATGCAAGGTTGCAAGCCTTCCTCCAAAAAGTCATTAAAAATTGTACCTCTCTTTGTTCTGTGTGAGCCACAGAGATTTTCTGATTCACAGATAAAATAAAATAAAGTCACATAAATAAGTAAAATCTCATGCAGTTCTCTCTTCCCCCTAAAAAAAAAAATAAATTAAAGAAGCAACAAAAACCAGTAAAAAAACCCAACAGGCAGCCACCACCACCACAACAAAATAAAGAGAATCATCTTTGTTATTCCACGGAGAAAATATCTCGTAGCTTAACCAGTGCCTCCATCCCCTCGTTTCTGTCTCTCCAGCCCCCTTTCAAATGACCGAGGGTAAGGGGAAAGCCTGTCATCTGGGTGACACTTGCTCACAGATCCATCAAGCTTTAAACAATATGTTCCGGAGTAGCAGCAAATCTAACCGCGTACCCAGTCTCAAGGAGCTACATCTTTATAATAATAACGACCATGATTTTTTTTATTATTATTTTTTATTTCCACCCCACCGAAAACCTGTGGATTTTTGGAACGGCCCGATCCACCCCAGCTCACCCACCCCCCCGCCACTGAAAGGAGAGAAGTCGGTTACAATATGTTAGAGAAAGAAATTAAAAAAGAGATCAATTACTAGTGCCTGGTGGGGTGATCTGCTGGATGAAGTCGTTTGCAGCAGTGCCTCTGCAAAGTCCGGGGCTGGGGTTCCTGCAAATTGTGATGATCTGGATGAGCCTTACTGAGATTTGCATGGAAGAAGTTGATTTCATAGCAGATGCCTTCAGTGGAGCTCTTGGATATGTGGCTGGTTGGACTGGTGGGGAAGGGGGGTGCATGTCGGGGGGGGTGCGTGTCTGTGTGCGCGCGTGCATGGCTGGGTGCAAATCCTCTTCTTTTTTTAATGAAAAAGGAGGGGGAAAAAAAGAAAGAACCAACTGAAAGTTTCTAGAAAGTTAGTTCAAATGCGTCCTGACCATCACCGTGAGGAAATGGGAGTTTGAGAAGACAGAACGGCAAAGAAGAGCAAATAGAGAAAATAATAATTAAAAAAGAAAAAAAAAAAAGAGGAAAAAACCCCTAAAAAAATTTCACACTTCCCCCCCCCC